TCCATCAATGATCTATCCTTCCATCCATCCATCAATGATCTATCCTTCCTTCAATCCATCCATCCTTCCTTCAATCCATCCATCCATCCATCCATCCCAAAGCTTCTCTATCATTGTGCAAACCGTTTAGGGTCTCCATATTTAACAAGCAAATTGTTTGCCCTCTAGGAACGGAAGAGAGCTTTGGAAGCGGAGCGCCAGGCCCGCGTGGAAGAGCTGCTCATGAAGAGGAAAGGGCAAGAAGCTCGGATTGAGCAGCAGAGGCAGGAGAAGGAGAAAGCCCGGGAAGATGCAGCTCGGGAACGGGCCAGGTAGCCTTTGTGGAAACCACTTCCAGTTTTTATTTTAATTCCAACCCGGGAGTTTCGGTCGGTGTTTTTCAACCTCGCCAATTTTAAGATGCGTGGACTTCGATTCCCGGAGGCTGGGAGATCCTGGGAGTCGAAGTCCACCCTTCTTAAAATTGCTGCGATTGAGAAATATTTGCAAATGGAATGTGCAAATGCTAAATTCATTTATTGGGGTCTAACCAGTGGTGAGTTCAAAATTGTTTACTACGGGTTCTGTGGGCGTGGCTTGGTAGGCGTGGCAGGAGAAGGATACTGTAAAATCCCCATTTCCTCCCAATCAGATGGGACTCGGGAGGCAGAGAATAGATGGGGCGTGGTATTTACCGGTTCTCCGAACTACTCAAAATTCCCGCTACCGGTTCTCCAGAACTGGTCAGAACCTGCTGAATCCCACCTCTGGGCCTAACCCTAGAAAACAGAGACACCCATAAAGGCATTGGAATATGTTGGATCTACTGGATGAATGGAGAGAAGGAGGCACACACAAGAAGAGTTTCTGGATTTTTGCAACTCTGGAAAAGGTGTTGATCCAATCGAGAGCCTTCATTTTTTCCATGTCTCTGCTCTTTGCGTAGGGACCGGGAAGAGAGATTAGCTGCTCTGACCGCAGCCCAGCAGGAAGCCATGGAGGAGCTCCAGAAAAAGATCCAGTTGAAGGTATGGACTAGAGAGACATCTCCATAAAGTCACAGCACAGCGGTTCTCAACCTGTGGACCCCCAGGTGGTGGTGGGGAGCACAATGACACAAGGGGTCTGCGAAGACTGGAAGCAAAGTTATGATTTAAATCTTGAGTTTAATCTTGGGGGTGGATGGCCATGGTTTGTTTGCAACCCCAAAAGGTATTTAAAAAAGGGCGCGAAGTTAAGGTTGAGGACCCCCGGCCTAGAGATCTCCGTCAGGCCTGCTGTTAACCTTTCAGTCAGTCTTGGGACGCGCCCCCTTCTCTTTCGATCACACGCAGCACGATGAGAGCATCCGGAGGCACATGGAGCAGATCGAGCAGAGGAAAGAAAAAGCCGCCGAGTTAAGCAGCGGGAGACACGCCAACACGGACTACGCACCCAAACTCACCCCCTACGAGCGAAAGAAGCAGTGTTCCCTCTGCAATGTTGTGGTAGGACTCTCCCTCTTACTAGCCTCTTGAGACCAAAATGTGCCTCGGCCATCGAGGCCTTCTCAGCTGTGCCCGGATAGCCCTTAGACTTATATGACGCTTCACAGTGCTTCTGCAGCCCTCTCTAAGCGGTTTATAGAGCCAGCCTATTTGCCCACAACAATCATTTGGCTCCTCGTTTTAATGACCTCGGAAGGATGGAAGACTGAGTTAGCCTTGAGCCAGTGGGAATCGAACTGCCAAACTGCTGGCAGCCGGTGATCAGCAGAAGTAGCCTGCAGTACTGCACTCTAACCACTGCGCCACCTTCACGATGTTGCCTTCACGGTGAGGATCACTCAAAGGAGAGAGTAGTTCTTCCCTGCCATTTCTCCCCTGCAGAGATCCTCTGAGACAAGGCATTTCTGCAGAGGAGAAGATACTTCTCAGTGCTTTCCCCTGAGCCAGATGTTGAGGCACCCCTTCCCAGGTGACCCCCTCCTCCAGATGTTTCAGGCCTTGAACTTTGCCAGTTAGGCTGGGTTGATTCAAAGGTGCTTTTCCAAAAGGCGACTGGACTTTCTCGTTTCTTTCCTTGGAAAACATTTCGCTTCTCCTCCAAGGAGCTTCTTCAGTTCTGAAGGGTGCAAATTGGGAAGGGACACCTCAATATCTGGCCTGGAGAAAAAACAGTGAAGGACAATGGAGAACCATCTCCTCTGTGCCCAGCTGGGTCCATCTTCTCCCCTGTAGCAGCTGGATTAGCCACGACATGTCAAATTGGCTTTCTCAAGTTTTGGCACAAATGAACTGAGTAAATGTCACACCCTTTCCAGATTTCCTCGGAGGTGTATCTCTTTAGCCACATTAAGGGGAAAAAACATCAACAAGCGGTGAGAGAGAACAGCAGCATCCAAGGACGAGAACTCTCCGATGAAGAAGTGGTAAGCCTTCTCTCTATATTTTCCCTCAATTTATTTATTATTTATTTATTAATAGAATTTATATGCCGCCCAATCCCGAAGGACTCCAGGCGGCTTACAAAAAGAAGAGGAAGAAAGAAATAATAAAAAAAGACAGATTTAAAATCACAAGACACTCATTCGTTTTGATCGGGGCTGGACCTCAACAGTGAGGTCAACAGCCCCAGGCCTGCCGGAACAGCCAGGTTTTAACAGCTTTCCTGAAGGCCATGAGAGCGGGTAAGGTCCGGATCTCTGGGGGTAGCTCATTCCAAAGGGTCGGAGCAGCCACAGAGAAGGCTCTCCTCCGGGGAGCCACCAGCCGACATTGTCTGGCTGACGGCATCTGACAAGGTATCCAACAAGGAAATGGTTGTTATGTTGGCACAGCCTTGATCCAATTGGACTCGGGAGGAGTTCCCTAACAGCTTGCCTCCAGAAGATGTGAATGCTCCAACACTGAAAGTTTTTAAGAAGAGATTGAACAACCATTTGTCTGAAATGGTCTAGGGCTTCCTGCTTGAGCAAGGGGTTGGACTAGAAGACCTCCAAGGTCCCTTCCAATTCACTTACTCTGTACTTTGTAAGGAAAGCCACAATTGCTGGAAGATTTGTAATCCAGAATAGTGTAACAGGCAGCAGATTAAAGCAGTGTTTCTCAGCCTGGATAACTTTTAAGATACGTGGACTTCAATTCCCAGAATTGGCTAAGGAATTCTGGGAGTTTCACACATCTTAAAGGTGCCCAGGTTGAGAAAATCTGGGTTAGAGCCTCGGTCTTAACACAGCACATCAATGAATTTGAGGATTCAGAGATAAGTTGTTAACTGTACTGCTAAATAACCAGCCAGAAGAGTGGAAGCATTTGAGGAAGGCACGTTCACTGCATTGTCCTACTCAGAGGCAAGAAGATGGAGAGATACCAGTTGCAGGCCGTGGTGGGATCGTGCCAGTTTAAGAACCAATTCGGTGATCTCATGATTTGCGTGCGCAAATCTTCACTTCCGGGTTTCTTCGGAGGAGTAACACAGCTGATTCGCGCAGCAATCTGCTCTGCTGCGCAAATCAGCTGAGATAAAGGTAGGAGAATAGCTCGGGCGGGCAGGTGGGCCCAGCTGATTGTTGGGGCGAACCGATTCGCTCCCAGCTGATTGTCGGAATCCAGTGGCTGGGTGAACCCGTGGTGGCAAGCTATGCTGCTGTGTCTTTGGAGTTAGTTTGGTGGATTCTACCGACATCCTCTGGTGGTTCCTTTACTCATAGTTGCTGTGGTCAATGGGTCTTTTGATACGACCCATGAACACTTGAGTATTCCTGAGGAAGCCTGAAAGAAACTCTCTGTCGTGGACAGACTCTGTTTAAGATCTCCTGCAGGACGTAGTGAACAGAAGAAGCCTTTCTTTAATCTTTAATTCTCCCGAGAGCGTGGGGCCTTTTCTGAATGCGCCCCATTTTCCTTGGAATCTGGAAGTACCCTGTTGTTTGTTGAGTTAATTTGTTTCCATCTGTTAACGGTCAGCAAAGTATTATGATAAATTCTAATATAATGTGGTCTTTCTTACTACGTACAGCTCTGGGCAAAATTTACATCCCTCACGGCCACATGTACGATTTGCGTGCTTAAAAGAGTGAAATTTGAAAATACAGGAATAAATAATGTGGTTGAGTCAGCTTAGTTTTACTTCTCTCTCTTCCCCATTTTATTTTTAATCAATGGAGGCACCTCTAGCTGGACGAACTATTCCTACTTAAAGTTATTGCTTTTCACCTCTGATGCCTTCATATGAAATGACCCTTCTTCTCTGATGTATAAGATTTTTATTTATACTACCTCTGACCTAATGAAATTTCACCTTTAGCCTCCTGCACTTGACACGTCGGATAACATACACTTGATCTTTGACACGTTTTTGTTTTAAGCCTAGAATGGGTAAGAGCTGGCTGCCACGCAACCAAAATTACTCCATCGGAGAGGTCAATTCCAGACAAGGTTTCCATACTGAATCACAAAACCTGTCTTGGTTGTTAGAAAATTCTATTGACAAAGATCACAGCATAGAATCCAAATCGTTGTTTATTATTATTGTGTTGTTGTTATTATTATATATATTTTATTCATTAAACATGAAACTCAGTCAACTAAACATTCAAAAATGCGACACAAATATCATTGACTGCTCCTGATGGTTGATACGGGTTGCTGCCGGCGTCCTAGGTATCAACCAAGTGTCTTCTTAAAATATACGATGTTCTGAGTTGCAGTTTTTTGCAGTTCCACTGGTGTTTATTGCAGGAAGCAGCAATTTCTTGATGTGTTTTGCAAAATTCTTGGACGTGCTACCAAGTGCCCCGATGACAATGGGCATCACTGTTACATGCTTCATCCATAGCCGTGTAGTTTCGATGGCCAGTTCAAAATATTTTGTGATTTTTTTTCCATTTTTTTTTTTTTTTGCTTTGACTCTGGCATCTCCTGGTACAGCGATATCAATAAACTGTACACTTCAATATCAATAAACTGTACAATCATCATCATTATCATCATTCATTGCATAGTCAGCCAGATGTCCAGACTGGGTTTGGCATTGGGATAGGACCTGGGATAGGCAGATATGGATGTTTCATGGTGTTATATCCAGATCTGTTATCCCAGGTCCTTTCTAAGGACTTTACATAGCACTTCACGGCCCTCTCTAAGCAGTTTACAGAGTCAGCATATTTGCCCCCAACAATCTGGGTCCTCATTTTACTGACCTTGTAAGGATGGAAGGCTGAGTCAACCTTCAGCTGGTCAGGATCGAAATCTAGACTGTGGGCAAAGTTAGCCTGCACTGTTGCATTCTAACCACTAGGCAGGCAGGAAAGAAGGAAGGGAAGGAAAGAAGGAAGGGAAGGGAAGGGAAGGGAAGGAAGGAAGGAAGGAAGGAAGGAAGGA